GAGGCAGTCCCTGGAGATGCGCTCGTTTAAGGAGGCGGTAGAATCCTGGATACCGGTAGTGGAGAAGAAGGTGGACGTACTCCAGTCCGCCATGGATCTGCTGCAAACGCAAGTGGAGAAGCTGGCGAGCGCTCCGGCAAATCTGGAGCCATCCATTCCAGTCGAGTACCTGGACTCACCAGGTGTTCGACCAAATGGCTCAACCGGTCCAAATGGCCACCGCATTCAAAATCTTACACGGGAGGAGGTTACGGGGTTTACCCCAAGGCCAACCCCGGTCAATGGTACGTACGCGTCCCACAATGTCTCCCCGATTCCTTTCAATTTTGATGCCTCTGCCATGAATTCTTTCCAAACTGCGGTGTCTGTTGGTCTGAGCGGTGGAGTAGTGCCCATGACATGCCCTAAGTTTGATGGAGATAACCCCATTATGTGGAAGGCTAACTGTGAGGCTTATTTTGATCTATATGGCACACATCCTTGTAATTGGGTTAAGGTAGCAACCTTAAATTTCACGGGAAATGCTGCTTTCTGACTGCAAGCTGTTAGGTCTCAGTTGGAAGGGATAACTTGGGGTGAACTTTGTGATAAGGTTTGCAGTAGGTTTAACAGAGATAGGCAACAAGCTCTTATTAGGCAATGGATTAAAATCAGTCAATCAGGATTAGTAGCAGATTATGTAGAGCAGTTTGATTGCATTATGCATCAAATGATGGCCTATGACCCTTCTCTTAAACCAGTTTACTTTGTCACTAAGTTCGTAGAAGGATTGAAACATGAAATTAAATCAGCTATGTTACTCCAAAGGCCTGGCGACTTGGATGCTGCTTGTACTCTTGCCTTTTTACAAGAAGAAGCTTTGGAAGGTGATAAACCAAAAGAATCCAAGAGGGCTGATACCACTAGCTATCAGAAGGGCTCTCATAAAGGGGCTATGCCACTTCCTTTACCTCCAACTACAAGGGGTGGACCTCCAGTTTTATCACAAGACAGGAGAAGAGCTGATCAAGTCGCTCAGTCAAAGGAAGCTGAAAGGCTGGCAGCTCTCAAGTCTTATAGAAGATCGAAGGTACTTTGTTTTGTCTGCGGAGAAAAATGGAGCAAGGATCATAAATGTGCATCTTCAATTCAGCTGCATGTTGTACAGGAATTGATGGATGTCTTGCAAGTCACTTTGTTGTCTGATCATGAAGCATCTGAATTCCAGGAAAACGATACACTTATGGCTATTTCACCTCAGGCTGTTAATGGCACTGAATCAAGTCACTCTATCAGATTGAGAGGGTGGGTTCAGGGTATTGAAGTGTTGATGCTGATCGACTCTGGAAGCACTCATTCATTTGTTGATCATCAGCTTGGATTAAGGTTGTCTGGAGTTAAGGCAATGACAGAACCAGTCAGAGTTAAGATTGCATATGGGGGGCATCTCTCTTGTTCATTGCATATACTTGGCTGTGATTGGTTGACCCAAGGCATCAATTTCAAAAGTGATTTCAGACTGTTAGCATTGGGAGCCTATGATGTAATATTGGGAATGGACTGGCTAGAGCAGTTCAGCCCAATGAAAGTGGATTGGTTGCAAAAGTGGCTGGAATTTAAGTTGGGAAATTCTGTAATCAGATTACAAGGCATTCATTCTAACACAGAGAGTTGTTTGCCTATTGCTCCTGATCAATTGAATGGATTGGCTAAATCTGGTGGAATCATGTATCTAGTTCAACTGGATAAGAACACTGAGCAATCTTTTCAAGAAATTCCTGCTGCGGTACAGTCTCTATTGGAGGAATTTAGGGAAGTCTTCTAGGAACCAAAAGGGTTACCACCGAAACGTTACTGTGATCATCACATTCCCTTGCTTCCAAATTCTGGACCAGTGTTTGTTAGACCCTACAGACATACTCTTGGGCAGAAGGATGAAATTGAAAGGCAAGTTCAAGAAATGTTACACAACGGGGTGATCCAACATAGTACCAGTGCATTTTCTTCTCCTGCATTGTTGGTGAAAAAGAAGGATGGATCTTGGAGGGTTTACATTGATTATAGGCAGTTGAACTCTATTACTCAAAAGGGCACTTATCCTATGCCAGTCATAGATGAGCTCTTGGATGAATCAGCTGGTGCTAAATTCTTTTCTAAACTGGATCTTAGAGCTGGTTATCATCAGATTAGAATGGCTGCAGGAGATGAACATAAAACAGCCTTCCAAACTCATAGTGGGCATTATGAGTATAAGGTGATGTCCTTTGGACTTACAGGAGCTCCTGCAACCTTTCAAAGTGCAATGAATGATACCCTTTGGTCAGTCTTAAGAAAATGTGCTTTGGTATTCTTTGATGATATCCTTATTTACAGCCCTGACATGCCATCACATCTTTGCCATCTCAAACAAGTGTTGCAGCTACTTGTTGACCACCAATGGAAAGTCAAACTTAGTAAATGTGCATTTGCTCAGGAACAAATTTCTTACTTGGGTCATATAATCAGTGGCTCCGGAGTAGCAACAGATCCATCAAAGATCCAGAGCATTGTTGATTGGGCAAGACCAACTACCATCAAGAAACTAAGAGGATTTTTGGGTCTGGCAGGATACTATCGGAAATTTGTTAAAAATTTTGGTACCATTAGCAAGCCACTTACCCAACTCTTAAAGAAGGATGTTCCCTTTTAGTGGACTGCTGAGGTAGATGAGGCTTTTGTGGCTCTCAAACAAGCCTTAGTTTCTGCTCCGGTGTTGGCACTTCCTGATTTTAACCAAACTTCCATAGTAGAAACCGATGCTAGTGACTTTGGTATTGGGGCTGTACTTTCTCAGAATCAGCATCCAGTTGCTTTTATTAGTAAGGCATTGGAGCCAAGAACTCAGGGACTTTCCACTTATGAAAAAGAGTGTCTAGCAATTATGATGGCAGTAGACCACTGGCGCCCTTATTTACAGTTTCAGGAATTTCAGACCTTGACAGACCACCATAGCTTGATGCATCTTACTGAACAGAGGCTTAATACTCCATGGCAGCACAAGGCTTTTACTAAGCCCATGGGATTGCAATTCAAGATTGTGTATAGGAAGGGGAAGTATAATGTTGCTGCTGATGCTCTATCCAGGAATGTGCCAACAGAATTGTCTGAATTTCTAGCCATTTCTGTATGTTCTCCTAGTTGGCTGCAGGAGGTGGTGAAGGGATATGAACAGGACCCTGTCTCAACTAAACTTTTGATAGAATTGGCTATTAATCCTGATGCTCATACTCATTATAAGCTGTCTCAAGGACTTTTGAAACACAAAGGAAGAGTTTGGGTGGGTGATAATCCATCTCTTCAATACCAAATTATCTCTGCTTTACATGATAGCCCAATGGGTGGTCATTCAGGATTCCCTGTAACTTACAAAAGAATCAAGGCTCTGTTCTCTTGGCGACACATGAAAGCTGCCATTCAGCATCAGCTCTCTTCTTGCTCTGTTTGTCTGCTATCCAAGCCAGACAGGGCTAAGTATCCTGGCCTTTTGCAACCATTACCAGTACCAGAAGGAGCTTGGCAAATCATATCTATGGACTTCATTGAAGGTTTGCCCAGATCTCATCAGCAAGATTGCATACTAGTGGTGGTTGATCGTTTCTCAAAATATGCTCATTTTATGACCCTTTCCCATCCATTTTCTGCCCTTGATGTTGCTAAGGTTTTTATGCTGAATGTTTACAAATTGCATGGACTTCCAAAGGCCATTGTTTCTGATAGAGATAGAATTTTCACCGGTACATTATGGGAACAACTCTTTATCAGGTTAGGCACTAAACTACACCTCAGTTCTGCTTACCACCCTCAAACTGATGGGCAAACTGAGAGAGTGAATCAATGTTTAGAAATTTTTTTAAGGTGCTTTGTCCATGCTACTCCTTCTAAATGGTCTGAATGGCTCCATTTGGCTAAATTCTGGTACAATTGTTCCTATCACTCTTCCATTGATAAGTCACCTTTTGAGGTTCTCTATCGTTACCCCCTGCACATTTTGGCATTAGAGAGGATGCTTGCAATATTCCAGATTTGGATATGTGGTTATCTGAAAGGAAACTGATGACCCAACTTCTCAAGCAACAGTTGAACCGAGCCCAGCAGGTTATGAAACACCAAGCAGATAAAAAGAGGAGTTTCAGGCAATTCCAAGAAGGTGAATGGGTTTTTCTCAAGCTACAGCCCTATATACAGTCTTTTGTTGCCAAAAGAGCAAACCATAAACTCTCCTTCAAGTATTTTGGTCCTTACAAGATCATTTCTCGAGTGGGTCAGGTGGCTTACAAGTTACAGCTTCCATCTGGCAGTGCCATACACCGTGTTTTTCATGTGTCCCAACTGAAGAGTTCTAAAGGGTTCAAGCAGTCAGTTCAGCAACAACTGCCTTCCCCAACTGCCAATATCCAGTTCCCAGCTGAAGTCCTGGATACCAGAGTTACCCGAAAAGGTAATCGTATTGTTTCTCAATTGCTTGTTCGTTGGTCTGATTCTGCTGCAGCTGATGCAACATGGGAATATGAAGCAGCACTCAAGCAAAGATCTCCAAATGCTCTGACTTGGGGACAAGTCAAATTCCAAGGGGAGGGGCTTGTCAACAGCCCAGCTACTGCCAGCAGCCCAACTACTGTCGTGCCTGAAGAGCTACAGAACCCACAAGTCCAACGGGCCGCACGAGTGCGTAAACCAAACATTCGTGTAACTGGGCCAGAGTGGGCTATGTAACAGTTGTCAATTAGCTGTCACTGAGTAGTTGATTCCTCTATCCAAGCGAGAGAGCGAGAGACAGAGTTATAAGACAAACACTTTCTGTAACAGAACTCATCTCGAAAAAGATCAAATATACTGGCAGCGAAGGCGATGCGATCTCGTTGATCCATCGAAGATATCTTGTTCTTGTGATCTTGAGTGGAGAGTGCTCACAACCTGCCGCAGATCGAGGAGGTGGGCGAGAAGGGACTCGATCACTCGAAGGTCGCGAGAGTCTCGCCGGCGGCGGCGTGCACGCAGGCGGCCTCGATCTCCTCTCGCGCCTCCGCGAACTTGAGGTTTACCTCGTCGACATCCTTGCCGTAGCCCGCCGTCGAGAAGGCGCGCCTGTGGGGGCACCCCGGGGAGGGGCGGCCGCCGCTGAAGAGGAGGGAGCACCGGCGTCTCAGTCGCCGGAGACTCCCAACAACAACCACGGGCACCATACGCTTGAAAGGAGTTGTTCGTCGCTGGGTGGGCGGATGCTGTTCGTCGCGCGAGGCTGCTCTAGATCGTACGAGGCGAACAAGTATCCAGGCTGCCGCCGCCGACGCCGAGGAGCGGCGGTGCCACTGCTGGCCCTGCAGAGACAGCGGCAAGTGGCTGGCAGCTGCCGAGGACGTGGACAAGTTCTTGCCGGAGCAAGGCCTGTTGAAATACTCACCGTTGGCTTGGTTTCTCTAGTAAGAGATTTCTGCTCATCGATTTGGATGAGATGTGCTTACCTCACATCGAGGTGTCCCCCATTAATTTTTATTTTTGAAGGATAAACAGATCCCACACATATTTTTTAAATTCTAATGTCACACAAACGCTATGTCAATGCCACGTGAAATAAAGACTACGTCAACATCGCCACGTAGATGCCACGTCAGCGAAACCGCTCTCCAAAACCACCGAGGGAGTCAAATTGCACCGGTTTTAACAATGGAGGGGTTGAAATATTAATTAGATATTATGGTTCAAGGATACGGATCTGATTCGACAACTAATTAAGGGAGTCAAAGTGAACACGCGATCTTTATGGGCCGATTTCATCTCTTGATTTGCTTACTTTGATGAATTCCAGCTAGGGTTCACTTTATCGGTTTAGGACATTCGATCGGAGGTCATCGAAATCTCGAAATTTCGGTCCGAAATTTCTAAAATTTTGAACAAAATTTAGTTAAATTTGAACAAATATTACCAAAATTCATGAAAAAATTGAAAAATTTCGGCCGAAGTAATATCGTATCGTAGGGGACCGAAATGACCGAAATTTCGGATTCCGGCTCAGAACTATTGCTTATTACCATAGATATATAGGGGATAAAAACCTAGGAGTCCTAATAGGAAAACAATTCATAAATCGTACTAAGGAAATATAATCGCGGTATATATTGCATATGTTTAACATCGGGTAATCATAAATTTGGAATTTTTTTTGCCGCAATGTTTCACGGAGGCGAGAGAGGAAATAGTTTACTTCGCGTTTAAGTTGGTTACTAAACTCGTCTGTCTGCTAGTTATTTGTTTCTAGCATTGGCGGCCGGCGTTCCTCGCCTGAACGATCTCTCCAAAGTCTCCTCACAGCAGACGAGTTCTTCGTATCTACTCTTCTTCAACTCTTCGTCTCTCTCCCTCTCTGCGGCCACAAGGACGAGATGAACAATCTTCTGACGGTAATGTTCTTACTTCATAGGATTATTACGATTATTTTTCTGCGAAAAGATGCTATCATTATGCTTCCTTCTTTCTTGTGATTTTGATGTTCTCTTGATGGAGAAACAGTTGATTAGAGAACAAATTTTCATAGGTCGTGCCAATCTGCTTTATGAATTATGATCCCTTCTCTGCCAGTTTCATCCTGGGCCAGTAATTTGGCTGGATGCAAAATCCTGAACCTTCTTTTCAAAGTTTAGGATAAACTGATCAAATTATAGGGCTTTGATGGCTGATGATTGTCCTTCTGTCATAGAAGTTGTAAACGATTCAAACTTATAATTATGTTAGGGTTGATACATATGCTAATTCCATAATATTTCCTTGCTTACATCACTATTGACCTTTCAACTTGATTGTAGAATTCTTTTGAATCGGAGAGGGACATCGAGATGGGGTATCAAAATTCAAAGAATAAATCGGATTATGGGCTTGAGGATTTCTTCCAGGAGGTATCATAACAATTTTATCCACACCAAGATTCTGATGCACTATTGTCTATGATTTTGTAGCCATGAGTGCTAATTTCACAAAATGATGATGAAATCTTCTGATTGTGTTCTGTTGAATTAGGTTCAGGAGATTGAGACGTTGTTGGACAAGATGTCCAATATAAACCACAAACTTCAGGTATACTTAATTCCTTTCCAACATTTTGTCAAAAGAGTTAATTGTCCATGACAATATTTTTCTTACGTTTCCCCCATTACCATACTATGGAGTTGGAGAATTGATACATTCTTATCAACTATAGGAAGCCAATGAGGAATCAAAATCCGTCACTAAGGCTTCCGAAATGAAAGGTTGCAAACGTCAATTAATCTGTTGATTGATCTGCATATATAGCTAAGTTTCAGAGTAGAATGATCATACTAATGCATTCATCTGAAATAAAAACACATTCCAGCAATCAACAAGCGCATGGAGAAAGATATCAATGAAGTTGGGAAAATTACACGCACCATAAAAGTGAAGTTGGAGGAGATGGATAGGAATGTAAGGATTTTAGCATGTCTACTAATCTGCACTACTATGTGAATTAGCCCAGTTCTCACGATCTCACTTGTTTTCTGATTGCAGAATCTTGAAAACAGAAAAAAGCAAGGGTGTGAAAAGGGCACAGGCGTAGACCGATCAAGGATGTCAATGACCATGTAAGGTGTTCATACATTTCTTCAGTAAATTTAATAATTTGGAAGATATAATCAGATATGTTTGATATCAAGACAAGATAAATTAAATTCGGCATGATTGACATTGATCATTGACCCACCACCAAAAAAAGAATTGTGACATATTTTGAGTAAAATTGGTTTGTTAGGTCTATTATCAGATCACTGTAGTCCCAAAGTATTTGTAAAGTTTAAGAAACAATTCCATATTTTGCTTGTTCAACATAACAAAAGAGGTGAATTTTGATTGGTTCTTGTTGATTGCAGTGCGCTGAAAAATAAACTCAAAGAAAGAATGAAAAATTTCCAGGTAAACTTTCTAGCTTATTATCCATCTTCTATGAGAAAACAAATTGAAGAGCTTGCAGTACAGTAATCCACATTTCATACAGAATCTAAGACAAATTATTCAAGATGAGTACCGACAAGGCGTTGCGAGGATGGTTTTCACAGGTAAGGAGTTCTTTTTTCAAGTCGTTTTACGTTCTTTCTGATAAATATTTCCTTCGTTCTAGAATGTAAGGTGTTTTGGTTTGTCTTGGAGTAGTTTGACTTAGAACAAATCCAAAACAACTTCCATTCTGAAACGGAGAGAGTATAATTTACTTCAAGCTATTCTATCACATGCTTCTTGATAAACCTGAATCTTGAACAGTCACTGGAGAGCAGCCTTCTGATCAGGTGAGGACAGTAGTGCTACTACGCTTGGTGTTGAGAGATGCTTTCTCCTCTGATCTCATTGTGGTTAAAAAAAAAAAAACATGACTAGGTGATTGACCACCTGATTGAGACCGGCAGCAGTGAGCAGATATTTGAGAAAGCGATTCAGGGAATTGGGAGAGGGCAGGTTGAATATCGTGTTCAGCTTCACCAGTACATTATATGTTCCTTCCATGTCATTAAGGCTGGCAATTCTTACAATAGTGCTCAAATGTTTCATAATTGCACATACTTACAGATAATAGCCACGGTTAAAGAAATCCATGAAAGGCATGATGTAGTCATGGAAATTGAAAAAAAACTTCTTGAATTGCAACAGGTAGCTTTGGCAAGATTGCACGTTTGTTCTTCAGAATTGAGCTCATATAATCAATGGACTAACTATATCCCATATCACTAATTATCTCTTTATTATGACTTCTTCCACCTGCTGTCAGATTTTTGCGGATATGGCAACACTCGTCGACGCACAAGGAGAGACATTGAACGACATAGAGAACCAGGTTTGCAATCTCCCTCCATTTTGTTGCCGAACTTACTGAAAACTCAAAAGACAATTAACGAATGTGGCTGGAAATATTTCGCCTTGTTAGCTTGATAATGAGTTTAAAACTCTCAGGTTCAAAATGCTGTGGACCATATACAACGTGGTACAGGAGAGCTGCGCACAGCTAAGAGACTGCAGAAGAAGTCAAGGAAGTGCATGTTCATCGCAATCATCATACTCCTGGTCATTGCAGCTATTGTCGTTCTTTCAATCTTAAAGCCCTGGGCTAAGTAGAAAACTAGAAAAACAATCGATATTACTAGCATTTTCGTATGAACACAGTGCACAACCTCCTTTGAACATTTCAGACACCCTCCTTTGAACAAGTGCTCTGCTTTGTAACCATCCCGTTGCACAAGAAATTACCACTGTTTTTGAAGCTGATGCTTCAGGATTTAGATAAATTTGGGCAATATACATTATCAAGAAAGAGAAAAAAAGTTTTTACTAAATAATTCATTTGCAAACACTTCTTTTATGAACTTGAGAATTCTCTGTAAATGCATAACAGTACTGTATGTGCCCAATTTTTGCATCTAGGTGCAAAAAATACTTTCTGTGATAAACTCACAGATCAATTACATTTTACCCCAAACTGATTGTTCCATTTTGAGTCATAACTCAATCATTCATATATACTGTAACTATATGTAATTAGTTGATCCGTGCGTGCTGTAGTTCAGTCTGTAAAGTATCAAGGCTCCTTGGCTGAAGTCCAGAGTGGCTTTTATTACATAAATTTCAACTGTTTAAAATTTTCCTCTGAATAATCCTCATCACATCCTGGATTTGGCAAGAACATGGCTGCTGCTCTCACTTCCAGGCCCTGTCCATGAGCCCTTGAACTGCTCTTCAGTAACTCCTGCAAGCACAGAAACCAAACACAGGTTTGAGCAAATCATCTTGAAAAAATTTCCAAAAAAATAGCCAATTAAATCAGTATTGAACACTAGCATCATCAGCAAGCTTTCTTGAAAAATCATCAGCAAGCTTTCTTGCCTTTGCCCATGGCGGCGGTAGAGGAGATGCCACCCTGCACGGTCTTGAGCACCCTGTCGTAGAAGTTGGCGCCCGACCACTTCTGGTGCTGCAGCGTCTCCACGCCGTTGCTCCTCTCCTCCCTCTGGATCCTCTCCACGTACGCCAGCATGCCGCGCCGCGCGAAGTCGCGGGCGAACGTGTCCGTGACGAGCGCGTCGGCGTGGAACCCGGCGAGCGTGATGAACTGCCACACGTACCCCAGCCTCGCCACGCGCGGGATGAACTCCGACATGTCGGCGTCCGTCATGCCGGAGGCGTCCCAGTTGAAGGACGGCGAGAGGTTGTACGCCAGCATCGCGCCCGGGCTCGCCGCCCTCACGCCCTCGGCGAACGCCGTGCACTCGGCGATGTTGGGGCTCGACGTCTCCATCCAGAGCACGTCGGCGTGCGGCGCGAACGCGCGGCCGCGGACGACGGCCGCCGCGACGGAGCCGCGGAAGCGGTAGAACCCCTCCCGTGTTCTCGGCAGGTCCCAGTCCCAGAACAGGGATGTGACGCCGAGGCCCGCGGCGATGTCGCGCGCCTGCTCGAGGGGCACGCACTTGTCGTGGCTGGTGGCGGCGCTCCACTCCTGGAGCTTGCGCTGCTTGTCGGCGTCGGTGGCGTTGAGGCTCGCGATGGCGTCCCTGACGCAGTCAGAGAAGGTCTTGAGCTGCGCCGTGGCGAGCCACTCGTCCTCGATGGCCTGGAGCTCCCTGCCGTTCTTGCCCGCCGACATGGCGTCGGAGAGGACGGCGGCGAGGCTCCGGTTCCTGAGGCGCGGGTTGGTCGCGCCGAGGATGAACTGGTGGTCGCGCGCGTCGACGTTGGTCTGGATCAGCGTGGCGGCGACGGCGTCGGTGCGCGCGACGAGGACGGTCTCGACGCCCATGATGTCGAACTGGAGCCGCGCGGCGACGAGGCGGTTGACATGCTCGGAGACGGCGACGAGCACCTTCCCCGCCATGTGCCCGCACTTCTTGGTCACCGACGACTGGTCCTCGAGGTGAACCCCGGCCGCCCCGCGCTCGACGAACAGCTTGCACAGCTTGACGGTGGCCGTGGCGCCGCCGAACCCGGTGTCGCCGTCGGCGATGATGGGCTTAAGATAATCCACGTACGGCTCGTGCGCGCGCTCCGCCCTGGACATCGACATGCGCGCCTCCCGCTGCTTGCGGTCGTGGTAGAGCTGGGCGAAGAAGAGGTGCTCGACCTTGTTGGGGACGGTGTCGTAGGGGTAGTCGGCGAGGTCGGGGCCCGGCTCGTTCGTCGAGGTGTGCGTCGACGAGCACTGCCATCCGGAGACGTAGACGGTGTCGAGGTGCTTCGCCATCATGGCGACCTGGACGGGGTCGAGCGCGCCGAAGGTGCGCGACGCCGTGCCGTTGGCCTGGTGCGCCCTGAGCGTGCGCCACAGCTTCTTGGCCATGTCGCCGGAGGCGTAGCTCTGCCGGAGCGTGCCGCGGAGGAGCGCGACGTCGCGCGCCGTGTAGGGGCGCTTGGTGAGCCGGAACCTGTCCGTTCCCCACCACGCCTCCACCTCCGCCACCTCCGCCTCGAACCGCCCTTCCTCCTCCATGATCTGCACGATCAAAATCACACGATATATTATCGATCACGCTTAACATCTGTAACAAATTGCTAATCGATTCGTGAAATGTACCAGAGATGGCACGGAGAACGGCGACGACATGATAACCAAGAGTACACTGCCACGCACTGTCAACGATGAGGAAGGCTAGAGCGAATGTGCATGCATGCCTTGGCTGCTTCGCCTGCAGAAAACGCCGTATTTATACCGAGCGATGGCGTCCAGAAACCTGCAACTTATTACTCGATCAGATCACTCACTCGATCACTCGTGCATCGGTGCATGCATGGAACTTGGTGGCTACGGTGCATGGCGTTACGTACGTTGATCGATCTCTCGCGCGCTGCGGTTGATCCAGCGGTGGATCGATGGATGCTTATCTTGGAGGTTAATTGGCATGTTGCAGGGTACACTGCAGTGAGATGGCTGCAACGGCGAGTTATGGTCGCCACGTACGTACGCGAGAGCCGGCGGTGGCGTCCGGGATTTTGATCGGTTTCGCGCGAGGACAAGAGTTGGATCGGGCGCGTTTTGGAAGGTAGCTGTGGTTAGCTCTGGTTGCACATAAGCTCGCATCGGTTGCGTACATGTTTATTCTCCTCCGATTAGTTCTGAGCAAAGCAAACTGCGAACACTGACCGGCCGGCGAGTGATGTGGAGAAAAACGTATGGATAATGGATAGGATTTTTTTTTTTCTGCAATCACACACACAACCACGATCCCACACCGGCACTGAGAGCCATGAGAAAACCGCTCGAGTTCAGATTCCAGAGTTCAGGGGCGTCCTTAGCGTCGTTTTGATGGCTACAACGTTAGCAAGATTTGAGCGAATCATTGATTTACAGCTCTGTTGCTCTATGGTGTTATTCTTTTCGGTTTGACGTTACCCGCCTATAGTGATGTGTGTGAAATTCAATCGAAACTATAATTAATTGTTGATTTTGGAGATTCTGTTTTCGGTTTAAGACAAGAACTATATAGAACTTGTAAGCCGTTAGAGAAAAAAAATGGTTATGCATATTCTCGCCAACCATAGATAAAAATAGTCTATACTTTAAAGGTGGTATTCTTAGTAAATTTCTTGTTTTCTAATAAATTGTGATTGTAAAATTTACAGTCGTTCATCATACAACCTCTATAATAATTGGTTGTATCTTTTTATTTCAAAAGCAAAATCAGAATGAGTTCTATTATTAAAAAAATAGAAACATGCAAACAGTTGTAAAATATTGCAATTTGTAAGTTGGAACCAAAGGGCTGCAATTAGGCCCATGACTGCGTGAGTCAAACCAGGTAGGATTGGGCCGGCGGCCGGAACACCTATCAACTACTCTAACGACCGGATAAGGATTGGCCGAATGGGCTGCGACGGATGGAACGGGGACGTACGTTCCTCTGGTGTTTATCGTCCACATCAGTAGGCTCGCTCGCTCGCTCGCTGGCGCCTGGCTGTTGCTGCTGTCATCCTAACCGTTTCTCCCGCACACGGCACCGTTCCGTTCCGATCGTTTCCAACGAAACGTACGGTGGCGTCACGCAGAGGAGAGTGCCGTAGCTTCTTGTTGCTGCATCAAAGACCACAAGAAGATCGAGGCTGCGGCTGCGCGCGCGCTAGGCGGTCGCCGTCAGCGCAGGCGCCCCAACAGCGGTGAACGGGAGAAAAGCCGGAATCGCCATCGCCAGGGACAAGGGAGGCGGCGCGGCCTTACATCGAGAAGAAACATGCATGCGTGCAGCATGCGCTTGCTTGTTGTTGATCCTTCAGAATTCTGCAACAGCTTCGATGCCCGTCTCGCTGTCAGGTTCAGATGGGAGCTCAGATCAGCTCCTCGTGCCAACCTGCTATAGGCACTGGTGGGTGCTCATGTGAGGCAGGGTTTGATGGAGGCAGAGGATGATGTTCGGCTCGTCGTAGTTCTCGTTTCAAAACAAATTATCTTCTCCAAAAGTTTGCGAAGATGACATAATTGTTAAATAACTAGTGGCCTATTCGCTGATCCGGAGTAGAAGACGACGATCTCATGCACACAATCATATAGTAGATGAACACGGATAGGGAGGGGCATCACAGCTTTATTGCATTAACTATATGCAGATACATCAACCAACCTCTCAAGCCCTCTCTTAATATATATACCCATAATAGAAAGAGTTCTATTAGGATATGTTTTCATATATTTGGTATGAGCCTATATTTATCTCTGGCAGGAGATAATAGTTTCATAACACTCCCCCTTGGTGAATACCGCGCTATACACATGTCTCATTAAAAACTCCATCCAAAAACCCAGTGGGAGAAAAGGATAGGAGAAAAGAGTACATCGTACATGCTAGTTATATTGCACTTGTTGCCTCATTAAGAACCTTGCGTGAGATATTCAAGTAAAAACTCACTAAGGGAAAAAAAGTACAACACACAATCTTCTTGATCGCATAATCTTTAAGATCGACTATTCTTCATAAATAGCTAATGATCTGTCACACCCCGAAGTTCTCCTCCCAAGCCTAAAATCTAATTTATAAATGATCCTAAGAAAATGCTGGTGCAAATCAAAAGAAAACCCTAAGAAGGTAATGCAAATAATAATCGGATTTGACATGTGGGATTTTTCTTGAGTTCTACATGTCGAAATTCATTAACAGGATTTTTAGTGGAATTTTCAGAGCTCTAGAAATAATTTTAACCAATTAAA